ATTCAATAAGCACCGATCCTGCATTACTGCTTTAGCATGGTACTTCTTCTTTGCTTTTGGTGGGTTATAGAGCTATAAAGTAACTAGCTCTATATAGCATAAGCTATAACATGCACGTGTCTCCCTGAAACAGCTGCAATTGATGAATGTAATGAGTACATTGTGTTTCTTTCTTCCCTTTTTGCTTGGCTCTGACTACGAGATCACCGATGCGTAAAGCGTTACGGTGTTGTAACTCTTACGTCCGATAAAAAAAGAGAAGTAAAAAATACGAATACGCTTGGCCTCCAAGCGCTGACATTCAGATGACAGGAAAAAGAAAAAGGGGGCGCGGCGAGGATTTCTATAAATATTTGGCATTTGATTGGTTTTGATCGTAAAACACCAGAATCTCATAACGAGGTTGTATTATATCCTCAACCCTGATTGGCTGACAGAATCATCATACCATTGCCTCGTGCATTCTTAGGCTATTTCCCGATTCCTGTTCCCAGCGGCAAGCGAATCATTGAGAGACGCATGACAGGGCTGGCCAACAGAGCCGTGCAAACACCCATATCTGATAGAACCGGATTCAAAATTATCATATTTTAACTATCCGGTTGTCTTTTTGTATTTCACGCGTGTGCTTGGCCTATGTTATGTGTTTTCTATGATGGCCTCATGCAGTACGGTTGCGTGTTGCTCTAAAATCTACTTTACATCTGATATAAATTTATTCAACTGTTCTTTTTGGCTGCGAATAAAGACAGTGAATATAAACTAGAGGCAACAGAAATATAGTTTCTTAAAAGACTGTTGGGAATTTCAGAGAAGGAAAAGAAATGACATAAAAGGCAGTGCTGAAAAAAGTCCCCGTGGGACATTAACTACATGTACTGGTATTTTTTTTTTTTTAATTGACAAGAGAAAACTGATTAGACACAAAGGCCATGAGCATCTTATCTACACGATGAAAATACCTGGTAAAATAGACAGAGGTAGGCTAGATCAAAGAACAATTTACGTCAAAGAACTTGAGCAGACGTGTGATGGGAAAAGACCTATATTGTATCATATATTTTTAGATCTTCCGAATAGAGAAATGAGTAGCAAACCGTTATTGTTGATTTGTGTGCTTCAGATGATGATGATGATGATGATGATGATGATGATGATGATGATGATGATTTAATAAATAATAATGTAATACTCACCAAGTCGCTCCAGATACAGCTGGTTTACTCTTTTTACCCCTACAATTAATGAGTGCATGGCGTAAAGAAAGATACGATATGGGGGTACATGGCACAGAATATTTTTAAAAAAGGTTGGGCCGAGCGAGTTTTCAGGAAACGAAATCCAGAAAAACGAGTATAGAAAATCCTGAGGGTGTTTAGAGTCGCAAAAATTGTAACCCTTCGAATGATAATCAATTATCATGTCAGCTCACTGGCTCACACATATAGCGACCCTTTGGTTAAAGTTAACGCTAAACAGAATGGTTGAGTAAAACGAATAGCAACAGAAAAGGAATCCAAATCTTTCCGCGGAATGCTGGAGAGTACAGTTTGAATTTTGGGTAAATTTTTACTTCCACTCCTGCACACAGATGCACTGCTTTGGGGGCCAAACTGCAGTTTTTATTATTATTATTTTCTGTAGCAAATTCCCCCAGGTCCTGCTTCTGTTCTCTCTCCCTCTGTTGTTCCTGTCTGTCAATCTTACCCTCTGTCCTGTCTTCCTCTCCTCTCCTTTCCTCTCTCTCTCTCACATTATTATTATTATTATACAGCGTCGAGCAGAAAGGTAACTGACATAATACATGTATTAAAAATCATTAAATGGTTGGTTGGCGGGTGCTCTGGTGTGGTTTGCTTCTTCTTTCATTTCAAACGTCTATGCTCCTTACCTCCCTGTCTTCTTTATTATGTTTGTTACTCTCTTGTAACACCTCTAATCTTCTGGCGCTCATATGACCTTATGTAGTTGCGAGCGCCGTAAAACCTCTACCAAAACTAAGCTAAATAAAAAAAAGTTTAAACTAAACTAGTTACAAAAACTAAACACGTCACAGAATTGGTACAAAGTACTTTTCTCAAATATGACTGCATTTTGTATTATTTTAAAAAATCCAAGATACAGACCCGTTCTCCGAACGGTGATATAGAGGTAGGAAATCCAAAGATAAAATGTTTATGCCGGATCCATTGCCGTAGGACTTCTGTGTAGACAACATTGCTGGTATATGCGCCATCTGGAACTCGTTCTGGGAAGCAGGTATGTTTGCATGTATCGTAATAGAGTCCCTGGACCCAACACCACTCATTGCGACATACAATAATTGTCCTTGAGAAAAAAAAAATCATTGCAACATACAGTAATTG